TTGAATAGGATGTTAAACCTCAAATTGAACCGCCTTGCTAAATGAGCAAGCTGCTCTTTCCTGGTGCATACCCACACCTGTTCCTATAGCTTGAGTTCATGCCCAGCATGGATTCCCCACGACACTCAAGACAATTCAACCACCATCCATCTCCAGAGCTACCAACAGGACGTGTTGTCCTCATGCAGTAACTTGATCTCCCTAAGCAACTCTGCAAAGTCATTTCACCTCCCCATGTTAGTTTTCCTTACAAAAAAGAACAAAGCGTATTAAACCCTTTTATAATCACGTTCAATGCCCACTATGATGTACATTTTAAACATTACTCATTCTCTGAGCAACAAAAGAACACAGACATTTCAATTTATTCTACCACCTCTTCACACAGAATTTTTATGATTTACTGAGTAACAAGTGACTTAGCCATGTATTATTCAAATAGAAAAGGTAAAATCCACTTAAATAATACCTCAACCAGATTATAAAAGAAAGGTCGATTTAAAAAAATTATCAGAGGGTATGTATGCTCACGAGAGGTGGGGAGGGGAGAAATGGTGGCGGAAGTGAGAGAACACCTTCTTCTATGAGGAATGGTCATGCCACAATCCTTTCCCCCTATTTCTCCCTTGTTTCCCTCCTTTCATGATGCTGGGCACACACCTAGCATGTTTTTCAAGCTGCAAGTTCTGGGACTCAAACCGCATAGGCAGCCATGTGAGCTCCAACCACTGTAACCAACATGCCACTGGCTGGCCTGAAAAGTTGATTTTTAAAGACTCCAAATGTTAAAAAACTCTTTTCTTTCTTTCTTTCTTTCTCTTTCTTCCTTTCATTTCTTTCAATATAAGATCACATTTTACTTTCAACTGTAACATTTTGGGACACTACATATTTTTAGTAATTTGATCTGCTTTTAGGGACTCTGAAATGATTTTGTACTTAGACACTGGGTCTGAGTAGTTTTCCAGAGTTCTAGAAAAACAAAGAGGCATTTTGTATAGTTTATACCAACTCTCCCCAACCCTCAATATCTAAGACAAAAAAAGTTTTAAAATACACACTTACTTCCACATCACAGGTATATTCTGATCCATCCAGAAGTATCACTTTGCACTGCATGCTTTTAGGCTTTTTGACTATCTTTAATGGAGACCGAGATAGTTTACTACTGGATGATTTCTGAGAAAGTTTATCTTCTTCCAATTGCTGATATTCGAGCTGTTTTGCAACTCCAGCAGCAAACTCCCTTTCCTTGTCAGTGACCTGTGAAGGCAAACAATGAAAATAAATATTGCATTGCTCAGACAATAGCACAACACTTTGGACATAGGCTGCTTTCCTTCTACCTAGAGGATGAGCGATGTCTAGGTTAGGATATTAAGGAAGAAATGTACATATACAGACATTCATAATACTAAGTTTCACCTAATAGCTTTTGCCATCTAATTGTATTTCTAGGACCTTATTTCAGTTTGACTCCAGGACTTAATTTAGAAGCACTAAGTTACCAAATGTCATCAACATTTCACTAAGCAAAGAAGAAAAGAAAAAAAGACTCTTAACTTTTTAAAATGGCGTCAAATAGCACAGGCTCCTAAAAACAAATCACCTAGATTTTACTTTATGTACTACTCTCTTTTCTTAATTCACTTGATTCTTCCATACTCATGACTTGTTAGAAGTGCCCCATCCATCTATATACAAGGTATCTTATACATTTTAAAGTCTAGAGATTCAAGTATTAACCTTTTCCGTAATTTTTCAAGTGTTAAAATATTTGACTTAGTTCTCAGTCAATTCAATGAAGTCAACAGTACCAAAATTCATTACAAAGTAATCTCTTAACTCTGTTTCTCTTCATTGTAATGACTTGGTATAAGAACAGATCAAATCTGTCCAAACGTTTTAATATGCTTTCAAATCACCCGAGACAGGTGTAGGCCAGATTCTAAACTGTAGAGGACAGCCTATGAAACCATAAAATTCTCCCTGGAACCAATCCCTAGGGAAATTCCTATATGTACTACTTTCTGGCTACTTTTTTCTTTCTTTTCTTTTCATTTCTTTTCTTTTCTTTTCTTCTTCTTTTCTTCTCTTTTCTTTCTTTCTTTCGGTTTTATTTATTTATTCTATGAATGAGAGAGACAGCAGAGATGCAGAGACAGGGAAAGATAGAGTATCCCAGAATGAGTTTTGACACTGTGATCCAGCTCCAGTCCCAGCCAGCCTGGTTCACAGGCACACGTGTCTGGGGTACTCAGAGAGGTCCTTACATGCAAGCTAGCAATCCTTCCATTTGGGCCCACTGTGCAGGGCATCACAGCACCACCATCAGGTTCCTTCAGCTCGACTTTCTACACCCTTCTCCTATCTATTAAGTGTCCACCAAAGGTCACAGTGAAAATTCAATCCTTGGGCCAGTCTATCAATTTACACTCATCTGCAGATATGCACTGACAGTCCAAAGAAAGTGTAGGCTGTTTGAAATAAGCATGAAATTTCCTTTCATAATATGGGCAATTGGGTTGGAGAAGGGTCTTCAAAAAGTTCATTAAAACATTACCCATAGATTTCACAGGTGATTTTTGTATCCAAATAAACTTGATCTGTGTCTATTTTTTCCACAAAATTTTTGAAGTCCCCTCATAATATCAGCCTGGTGTTAAAAGTATGTGGGCTCAAGAGTAAAGACAATATTGATGGTTTATATCCTATAATTTCACAACACTCCAGTATAATCACATTATTTTTGTGATTTTAGTCAGAATTTTAGGTATAGAGTTCAGCTTTTTTCTGCATTTCCTATCTTATTTTCCTCCCAGAAGATTACCAATATAGTCTCTTCCTCCACTACCTTGCCCAGAAAGCAGGACAAATCTTGGGACAGTCTTAAGAATAGAAAGAGACCAATCTGCTGAGCTTATAAAATCAAACCTACAAAAAAAAAATTAAATAACCTGGGACCAGCAGTTGGCATAATGGCTGTGTCACTGGACTCTCATGTAGTCGACAGCAGTTTGAGTCCTGGACCCGGTGGCTTAAACTCACGCTGGGTGCATGCGCATGTGTGCCCAAGATCCTGAGGGGAGAATGGAGGAGAACAGATTGCAGTGTGGCTATCCCCTCTGGGGGGTGATTTCTCGCCTTCTCTCTGTGTCTTTCTGGCAAGAAAAAAACCTCTCCAAAGATAAAAAAAAAAATTAAATAGCTAATTTCACAGGCCAAAATAGAGAAGAAGGCAAGCTTCAGATAACTCGAATAAATAAACTAAAGAAAACCACTATGGCAACTCTGGCCCTACTGTTTTGACCATGAATGTTTCCATATCAAAGCATTTAAGTAAAAAGTGCAAGAGAGGCATGAAACCGTCATTAATTTTGGCCTTGAAGCAGGTTAAGAAGTTTAGTAATCTTGGAATTGCATATCAACCACCACAACACATATTCATTAACTGCCTTGTAATTTACACAAGACATTTGCACATTTAATATATATTTCACCTCATTAAAGACCAGGTCATAGAAGTACATTTCTATTCACATTTTGTTTAGAATCAACTTTTTCCATGCATTGGGAAGATAAAATTTTATTTTTTCCTACTGTTGGGTTATCAGTAAAGTCATGATACATTTTTTGCATAGCAAAATACGTCATGAGTTTTCCAATGACCCAATAAAATGAAAAAAATCTGTATATAAATAACTTTTGGGGTTACTAAAATGGCATCTCCAGAGGTAACTTAAACCACCATCATTCAAAGATAGGTTGTGAGGCCAGGTAATGGTGCAGTGGTAATGCAACTGGACTGACATGGAAAGATCTTGAGTCTGTGTCCTGGAACCTGTCTAAGCATCCTGGCCAGTGTGCATGCATGTTGGTTCAGGACACCTGACATTGGGGCTAGACTGTGGCGAGGACTCTGCTGGAGGTGACTGTCTCTCTGTCACCCTCTCACGGAAGAAATAAATAAATGAAAATAAACCAGGACAAAACACACACACATACACACAAAGGACAGATCTTGTTTCTGGGAACATTTGAAAGATGAACCTATGACTAAGACACCCATAGCAGTGGGTGCCCAGGAATGATTTGAGATTTTGAGAAGGACATTTAACTATGAATCAAAGTCGATCTGTCATGATCACAGGTTTTAATTCTATTCGATTTTTGCCACGGATGATTATAAAATGACATGAAAGAAATTTCAGAATTCAATCTATGAATTATCTAATTACATGTTTTTAAACAAACTTCTTTAACAACTTTACATGAACAGACCAAGTATCTCAAGTGAAATGCTAATCATAGATGTACGATGCATTATAATTTACAGATATTGGTATCAGCCATTTCAGCAAAGCCCCAGTTTCATCTTCACAGCATCTCTGTGACATTGGTATTATTACCCACGTGTGCAGATGAGGAGAGAGGGGCACAGGGAACCTTTGAACATTTCGTGAGATCATAAAACTAGTGAACTGGAATTCAAATCCTGCCAAAGCTATGTTTAGTCATTACTGTATATTAGAATGTTCTTCATTCTACCTCCAAATTAACTGGCTTCCTAGTTTGAATCAAAGCATTTTGTGCAAGAACCATAGAAATGATCTATTTTGAAATCTTCATTTTGTAGGTAAACAAGCTGAGGCCAGAAGACTTGACTGAGTTCTCAGAGCTAGTACAGTAAATGGTGGAGGAGACAGGATGCAGTGTTGGTCTTTGCCCTTTGTACTGGTCATTTTGCCTATAATGGTCTCTAGTGGCTTAGAATCATTTCTCCTATTTTATATCAAACATCTGACAGAGCAGATAAATAAAGCAGATTTATTCATGTCTGGGCGTGGATACTCATCTTTTTCTATAATTATTTCCCATTTGCATGTCATTTCAGTTCAGAATTTCCTCATTAGAGGGAAAGAACGGAGAACATGCCAAATAATGTCGTACGTTAAACCTTTTCAGGATTAAATATAACAAAACAAACGATCAAACAAAAATAAACATAATCCAAATCACTTCTCCACAAATAGAAAAAAGAAAAGTAAAAGAAAACTAAGACAACTGCTCCTTCAGTTTTATTTACTAATCTGGGAAGGTACTTTCAAATTCTCCAACATAAAGCCTCTCAGATCAGATAAAGCATGTATTTTTACAGTATAAGAGAAGAATTTGCAAATGCCAGGGGAAAAGAAATAAAACAATCTGGCTGTACACATACAGTTTCATGTTCCAATATTGTGTTGTAACTTCTAAAGATTTTCACTAAAATGATGATGTCATGTCCCTTCTCCACATCTTAGAACTCATAGCTTGACACATACACGTCTGACCTATGAAAGGTCAGCCACTAGTAGGGACTCCAGATTTCTTTACCAAATACAAGTCAGCTCTTTAAAATATGATTCTAAGTTTTAAATTTTGAGACAAAAGAAAGTTAAACATGGATTCATTCAAGGCCCAGGTATAAGGGATACCTTATATTTTGGTATTATTATTTTTTTCAAACAGGGTCTTGCTATTCTGTGATCCTCTTGCCTCGGTACTATACATACCACACCACATCCAGCTGTTTCTTTAGACAAAGTCTGGCTATGTTGCCCAGGCTAGCCTCAAGCTGGCAATCCTCCCACTTTAACCTCCCCAGTCACTAGGATTACAGTACATGTCACGGTACTGGGCCTTAACTGGATTGGGGATTTGAACTCAGACCGCCAATGTAGTTTCAACCTACAGGGCACAGCATCTCAGTAATGTGTGCCACTGTGACTGGGACTGTATGAAACACTATTCATGATAATACTAATGTATATAGGAAACATAATTGATAATGTGGATAAATACAGGGGAAAGAAAGAGTAGCCAGGGTCAGAGTCATGTCCAGGAAAAATCAAAGTGGCCCCAACCCGTACTTAAGCTTAAAATAAAAACTGACCACAAGCATCGTTAAGGCTGTCGGCTGGCGGTCTAGTCTTCCTCTAAATCCAGCTGTGATCAATAACCTCCAGTCCAGATTTCAGAGTGTGTTCAAGCATGTTAACTAACTGAAGGGGTTACCAGGCAAGGCTGTGGAATGGTCCTCACTCAGCCTTAAAAAGGCTTGCATTTTCATCTGCCTGGGCCCAAAAGGGCAGAGCAGATGGCCCCTCAGAGTTGCCTCTAGTGCTAAGAGACCAAAGTGAAGCCACTCTGGCAGAGCTCAGCAGTCTCCAACCGGTTTCCTGGCAGGTGACAGTGAGGTGCGGGGGGCTGGCGGGGCTCACCTCCCTCCGCACCGGGGTGCTGTGTGCCGCTGCTGCGAACTGTTCCAGGGCCTGCTCCTCGCTGCCGCTCGGTGGCTCTGGCCCGGGCTGTGCCCCTGCACGCCCCTGCGGCCCCGCAGCTTCTTGGGGCTCGGCTTCCTGGTCTGGCTTGGATTCCGAGTCTGATCCAGATTCGGTCGTCATGGTTGATTGTTCTGTAAGCAAAAAAGGGGAAGATGGCCGTCACTCGGTGCAGTTACCTTCACTGGGCAAGACTACTTGGAGGCTAACCCTGAAAGGCGAAGGAGAACCATGAGGAGAGAGGGAAAGGAGCTCACAACCAAAACCCAGTCCTGTGCCACATGCTGAATGGATGACTTGTCCAATGTACATGGGCGAGTGCCCATGAGTGGTTCGAGGTGGACATTGAACTAGGAATCAATTGCTTTCTGTCATGATCACAGTTTTACCCCATTTGATTTTTTGCCATAGATAGAATGACACAAAAGAAATGTCATATTAATTCAACAATTAAACATTTCATTTCAGGAAAATGAATTTGCTCAATATATATTTATCCTTGGGAAGGATGATCGAAAGGAAGCAGACATTTTGCTTCCAATTTCTACACAGATGGGGTCCTCCCAACCCTTGCATTTATGGATTCTTCTAGGAACAAATGCCTTTCCCATTTGATTTCTCCTACTTCTTCTAAACTAGTAACCACAAATGCAGCAACAGAGGCTTCTTCAAGGACATGGAATCTGCTCCACACTGGACAAGCACTGGCCAGTGGCTGTTCAGGTAGCCAGGCAGCATCCCCCCAGCTCCCTCTCAAGTCAACTGTCCCAATCAGCTTCCTGGCTTCCTCCTATTTCCCTTGGGTATTGAAAGATGAATCTGTCTCATACCACAAGGAACACAAAAAAATTCATCTTAATATGCAATAATTTGCTGGTACATACTTTTTAAAAACGACCTCAAATATAACCACCATCCCTAACAGTTTACTAGTCAAGATACTGGAGTATTTTGTACCTCCATTTCCACATGCGCCAAATGAGGAAACTGAACATAACCGTACTTAGAGAACTCATTTCCTGCCGATCCTTCTCCCTTCTAAGATATACCACTGTGTTCTATAGCAGATTTTTACTCTAAGGAGCAAGAGAGCTGCTAAACCATGTAAACACCATATCATTTTATGCAATTTCTTAGCTTAAGTATGTGGGGTATCTAAAATAAAAATAACCTGGATTGTCACAAAATTCCCCTTCTTATTCCTAATATTATGGTAAAAATATGGACAAAAAAATATATGGACAAAGGGCTGGTGTAATACTTTAAGCAAATGATATACTCATTAGTATAATATGGAATTATGTGAAAAATTAATAACACTAGTAACTCTGTAGTAAAACCACCATTTAGTTCCTATCTTCGCAATACATGTTAGAGTATGTTTAATCATTTGTAGAAGTAGGGAACATTAAAAATGGCAATCTATGTTATAAACTGAATGCTTTACTTGCACTTCCTATTTAGGGATACTTTTCATAAGCACTAGATATTCTTTTTTTTTAGAATTATTTAATTTTATTATCATTATTTTTCACATCTGCTTTAGGATACATGTACTCATGAGAGAGAGAGAGAGAGAGAGAGAGGAAGAGTGAGAAAGAAAGCTGCCAGGTCCGAGACTCAAACCACAGTCAGCCATGTGGGGGTCCAGGACCTTAATCATCATATCACCTGCTGATGCCAACACTAGATATTCTTTACTTTGACTAAAAGACCTATCAACTTAGCATGTGCTCAGATGCCCTAAGCATATGTAAACACCAAAAGCAAACACAGAGAAAGACAGTGATCCAAAGAAATGAGCAAGTTTTTTTCCTTCTTCTTACAATATACTTTATATTTTCAAGCAAATCTTAAAAGTAAACTAATTCTCCTTTGGATACTTGTCCTGGAAAGTGGTAAGAATGTAGAGAGAAAATAAACGAGAAGGAAAAGCGGTGGCATTGTGGAATTCAGAACATAAAATGGAATTCTGCCTTGGGAAGGGAGAAGACTAGTGTAATAATTCAACTCACCAAACACTGACTACCAAATACAAACCAAGCACTGCTCATGATTTAGAAACAGACATTAACGTGTTGTAACCACCCTCCAGACTCCAAGGAGCTCAGAGTATACAGCAGAAATAGACTCTCCCCTGAATCCATTTTCTCCATTTTCCATTAGTAACTGAACTTTCAAGTTCGGCTGGTACTCATAGTTCACAACTATGGTGTGATATGGCCAGGAGATAAAGTCTGGACCCAGGAGACTGAAAGAAACAACCAAAAAACATGCTCGGGGTTAAGTCATCTTGATAAACACAAAGCCACTTGCCCTAGATTTCTTTCCATTTCTCATTGACCAGAAAACAACAATGGTCATGGGCATCTTAGACCCAGTCACAGATGTACCACATTCAAGAGAATCTCAGAGCTGCTTCCTCCAGCCTGGGTCTTTGGATGACCTTCTTCTAGGCTGGGTCTTTGGATGACCTTGCACACACAGTCCATCTGCTCTGGATTGATAAATGAGGAGGTAGAAATAAACTTTTGCCTTCTTTGAACTTCACTACCCTAACTTACACTCAATCCAATACATATGCTACACACTGAAATCTAACAACGGATAGGCGATGCTCTTAGTGGGTCCAAAAAAGCAAAGGAGTTTCCCTTGATCTCATTTCTCCCATCACTTACTACCATATTTCTCTGCTTTCCACTATGACTGAATGTCTCAAATACAAAAATAGTGTTAACCCTTCGTCTTCTACTTCCTCTCTTCTTCTTTTCTCTGAAGCACTCCTGACCACTGTTTTCTTAACCCTACTCCTTCCTTTGCTTGGGTCAAACTCTTTTCCTAGCCCATCTCTTCACCAATTTTATTTTTGAGAGACAGCTTTGAAGCCAAATTATGGCAAATACATCCAGCATGGGGTACAGAATAATCCAACCCCATCCACTCAACTGGGGTGGCTCTTTGGCCCAATGTCATAGATTATCTGCTCCTATCTACTCTTGTCTATTTGCCCCCAAACTCACGTGATACCTCTTTCCTTGTCAACATGCTTCCCTCTTCCTGGGAGTCAGAACACACTGCACTCTTCTACTTGCCCTCTCTCGGCTTCACCTTCTCATTCTATTTTACAATGGCTCCTCTATCCAATCTCTAAATATGGTCAAGTCTTACCCAATTATAGACCCTCTTCGCCTTCTTTAAAAATGTTCTTCCCAGCTTATGACATCTTTTCCAAGGGCTTTAAACACTTCCTAAAAGTAAACTTTGATCTGACTGTCCACTTGCCATTCCCCACTGATGCCTCCTAGCCTGTTTTTTCTCTCCCAAACCTGCTCCTATTCTCCCTCATCTTCTTTATTTCAATAAATGGCAATGCTCCTTCATGCCAGAATTCTACAAGTTACCCCTAACATTTTACCCCTTTACCTTCTTTATCTAATACACAACAGAAAGCTTTGTTGGTTCTATTTCCCAAACGGGACAAGCACTGGCCAGTGGCTGTTCAGGTAGCCAGGCAGCATCCCCCCAGCTCCCTCTCAAGTCAACTGTCCCAATCAGCTTCCTGGCTTCCTCCTATTTCCCTTGGGTATTGAAAGATGAATCTGTCTCATACCACAAGGAACACAAAAAAATTCATCTTAATATGCAATAATTTGCTGGTACATACTTTTTAAAAACGACCTCAAATATAACCACCATCCCTAACAGTTTACTAGTCAAGATACTGGAGTATTTTGTACCTCCATTTCCACATGCGCCAAATGAGGAAACTGAACATAACCGTACTTAGAGAACTCATTTCCTGCCGATCCTTCTCCCTTCTAAGATATACCACTGTGTTCTATAGCAGATTTTTACTCTAAGGAGCAAGAGAGCTGCTAAACCATGTAAACACCATATCATTTTATGCAATTTCTTAGCTTAAGTATGTGGGGTATCTAAAATAAAAATAACCTGGATTGTCACAAAATTCCCCTTCTTATTCCTAATATTATGGTAAAAATATGGACAAAAAAATATATGGACAAAGGGCTGGTGTAATACTTTAAGCAAATGATATACTCATTAGTATAATATGGAATTATGTGAAAAATTAATAACACTAGTAACTCTGTAGTAAAACCACCATTTAGTTCCTATCTTCGCAATACATGTTAGAGTATGTTTAATCATTTGTAGAAGTAGGGAACATTAAAAATGGCAATCTATGTTATAAACTGAATGCTTTACTTGCACTTCCTATTTAGGGATACTTTTCATAAGCACTAGATATTCTTTTTTTTTAGAATTATTTAATTTTATTATCATTATTTTTCACATCTGCTTTAGGATACATGTACTCATGAGAGAGAGAGAGAGAGAGAGAGAGGAAGAGTGAGAAAGAAAGCTGCCAGGTCCGAGACTCAAACCACAGTCAGCCATGTGGGGGTCCAGGACCTTAATCATCATATCACCTGCTGATGCCAACACTAGATATTCTTTACTTTGACTAAAAGACCTATCAACTTAGCATGTGCTCAGATGCCCTAAGCATATGTAAACACCAAAAGCAAACACAGAGAAAGACAGTGATCCAAAGAAATGAGCAAGTTTTTTTCCTTCTTCTTACAATATACTTTATATTTTCAAGCAAATCTTAAAAGTAAACTAATTCTCCTTTGGATACTTGTCCTGGAAAGTGGTAAGAATGTAGAGAGAAAATAAACGAGAAGGAAAAGCGGTGGCATTGTGGAATTCAGAACATAAAATGGAATTCTGCCTTGGGAAGGGAGAAGACTAGTGTAATAATTCAACTCACCAAACACTGACTACCAAATACAAACCAAGCACTGCTCATGATTTAGAAACAGACATTAACGTGTTGTAACCACCCTCCAGACTCCAAGGAGCTCAGAGTATACAGCAGAAATAGACTCTCCCCTGAATCCATTTTCTCCATTTTCCATTAGTAACTGAACTTTCAAGTTCGGCTGGTACTCATAGTTCACAACTATGGTGTGATATGGCCAGGAGATAAAGTCTGGACCCAGGAGACTGAAAGAAACAACCAAAAAACATGCTCGGGGTTAAGTCATCTTGATAAACACAAAGCCACTTGCCCTAGATTTCTTTCCATTTCTCATTGACCAGAAAACAA